GTGGAGTCCATGGAGCGCTCTCCTCCTGTTTCCCCCACCACAGCAGCCCTGTGAGGTGGGCTGGGCTGAGACGGGAGCTTGTGTGGCTGAGGGGGGACTCGAACATGGGTCTGCCCTGGGGCAGTCACCGCTGTATTGGATGGACTTGCTCATACACAAGTTGGGGCACTGCAACGCCCCACGTTTGTGGCAATGCCCCTGGGGACGCAAGGGAGTTCTGACCAGCAACGGGTGGGACGTTTTCCATCCTTTTTAAAATAAAGCAGATTTTGCCCATAGATTTCCCCCGGTTTCATACAATCGCTAGTAAGCCCCAATAGCTACAGCAGTGTTTAAAAGTTTGCAAACCCTTTTGAATTCCCCACATTTCCGCATAAACGTGACCCAAAACGTGACCTGTTCTCCACACAGTCCTAAAACAAGAGAAGGAGGACCCCATTAAAAAACGAGTCAAAAACATTATACTCGCCCGTTGATTCATTGAGGAAAAAGATCCAAAGCAAGGCACAGCTTGGGATGAAAGGTGGTTTTGCTTTCAGGAACTGGTGTGCCCAATTCAAAAGGGTTCACACACTTTGAACACCACCTTAGGTAGCTTAGGAGGAAAAATCACGCTTCGCCCGACCGAAGTGGAAGTCCTGTGCAGAGTCCTTGAAATGGGGGGATCCCAGTAACCCCTGTGGGGAAAAAAAAGATGACTTGTAAAGGAGATGAGCGTTTGACTACGTACAACACCTGCTTCTTTGTGTCCCTTAGAATGATTACTATATCAGCGTTTTCAGTACCTTCTGATTTGGGTTTGTTTTTATTTGTTTATTTTTCATCGTCAGTTGCCCAATCTCAAAAACCTGAAACGGGGTCGGACTGGGTCAGTACTTGGATGGGAGGCCACTAGTAAATCTCAGGGTTGCAGGCTAGAGTAGGAAATCAGGAAGTTACTCTGGAAGAAACCGGTGACAACCCTTTTTACAGTACTGCCAAGAAAACTGCACAACTTGAACCCCACTTGTCTGCTAGTAAAACAGACTGGCTTTGCCGGTTATTGAGAATAAATGCAGAACCCAAACATGCGGGCATGATAAGGCTAAGGAGCTGTGCCTGTTGTTGGAATAAACGCATTTCCACTTAAGCCATCCGAGGGCCTTAACTGCAGAGGGCGGAAAGCATTTTCTCTCACAGGCAGGTAATTGTTCATGCTTCAATTCTTTGAAATTCTGGCCAGGATTATTCCGACTGGATTGGCTGACATACATGATTTAATACCAGTTTAACAGTGTCTTCAGCGGGAGCTATTGAATGCTCTGTAATTGCATTATAGTTCACACAGGGCGCTAAGCCGTAAAGAGAGGGGAGAAACTTTTGTTGGCTGGCCAACACTTAATATTTTGAGAAGGGTCTGGCCCTGGCCTGGGCCCGTCACAGGTGTGGAAACGGTTCGGCTTTTCTGTTTCATTCCGTTTTCTGGAGGCCGTTGGTACGGCCTGCAAATTCCCTGCGCAAATAAATACTGCAGCTGCGCCCCCTCCCCTCCGCTTCTGTAGCTAGGTATCTCCAGATTGTCTTGCATGGCTTACACAAACTGAGTAATTTTCAACGTGTTGTCTTACATAAGAAGAAAATCCTGCCTCCCGTTGCGCCACCCATGCTGAATTTGCCAGTTCCTAAGAAGGACAACTGCGAGATAACCGGTCCGCTCCCTCCTTCGACTCCTTGAGATTTGGCGGGGCGGCTTGTGGACCTCGTAAGCTTGCATTTGCAAGCATGGGAATTAAACATTTCCTTTTAAAATTAAACGCTTGAAAGGACCTGAATTTTGAAGCCAGTAGAATCCTGCCCTTTATTTTTGCTCCTGTCAGATTGTACCATACAATATTAATCCTCGGGCAAAACGTCATCTCAGATCATGGAAGCGAGGCGGCGTTTAAAACCCTTTCTTGTGTATGCAGTTTTGTAACGCTGAGCTGTTGGAGCCCTCCCTGCCTGCCGTGCTCAACTTTGCAACCGTTTTGTTCCATTTGGAGCAAGTCAGTCCGTGCTTTGGCACGGTGGGAACGGCGATTTGGCTTTGGGAGTCCACGAGATAATCGAGCCACGAAATAACCTTGTAGAAAGTTAATATTCCACAATATTCAGCTGAGGGTACCGTTCCCCCCCAATCTATTTATATGTTTAAAATGTTTGGGCTTAGCCTCTCTGCGTGATGAACTCTTGGCACGGTGCCCAAATAAAAGTCACGCAAAAAGTAAAATACACATGAAGCAACAAGTGGACCTTCTTCAAGCCAAGCTCAGATTACATCGAGGTAATTATCTGGGCAACAATATTGGACCTAGCCTTTTGTATGCGTGTCCCAGTTTAGCCTAGCGTCCTGGGATCTCCTGGTGGTCTCCCATCCAAACCCTAACCAGGTCCAAAACTGCTCAGCTTTTTGAGATCAGCCAAGGTTGGCTAGACCCTGCCACCAAGCTAGGCTGTGAAATAAAACTAGAGATGAATAGTATAACTGGGGAGTGGCACGAATTACAAAAATTTCGGCGGAACAGTGTTATTGTTGCCGGCTGCTTAAAAGAACAGTACAGAGCTGAGATTGGCCCTACGACTCGTGCGAGCACTGCGGGGTGCTTGAATGTAGATGCCTGCACTGAGTTAAGGGTAGAGTCTCACTATCCTCTTTTTTTTCCCATGAGGTCCCCTGAGATTTGGGGTTTAAAAAGACCATTCGGTGGGGGGGCTTAATGACCACTTAAGGAAAACATTGCTGCCCCCAATCAGGGCGCACAGGCAGCGCTCCTGGTTTGGAGTTCCACGTCTGCCACGAACCGCCCACCGGCCTGTCCGAGAAGCAGACGAGAATCCAAGAGTGGAACACCAAAGGGGGCGGCAGGGTGGGGTCAGCGGAAGCTTCCATTGTGCCGTCGTGGCCACCATCATGACTTCTTTAACCCACCCCGTGGCACCCTCCGTGGGCACCGCGCCCCGCCTGCCGCCGCCTCCTTTCTCCCGCCTCCTGCCTCCTCCCTGTTTTGAATGAAAGTGATGGGGTGGAAATACAGGGGGTGACTTGCACGCTGGGGGCGCGCCTTTCCCCAGCCTGATGCCCTCCAGGTTTCACTGGTTGGCCCAGCCAGCCTCGCCGCGCTCCCTCTGTTCGAGGCAGATGCGTTCAGCTGCCGCCCCATTAATTACGGGCTGCGTGAGTCCCCCAAACGTCTGTTTCAAAACATCCGAGTGCCGGTGTGACTGTACAGACCTACCCGCGTTGCGTAAGCCACAAATGGCAGGGCCCTGTTCCCAAGGAGTTTATCGCTTAGCGGCAGTGCCAGCCTATATATAGGTTTCCTCTTCCTGCAAACCGTTCTGCGGCTCTGTCGGAGTACGTCTGCTGGCTAACCCCTGCCTCCTTCCCCCTCTCTCTCTTCCAGGTTTCAAGTGCCCCATTTGCTCCAAATCAGTGGCTTCCGATGAAATGGAAATGCACTTTATCATGTGTCTGAGCAAACCCCGTCTCTCCTACAATGGTGAGTTCTCCAAGAGGCCCTTCTGGGCACGAGGAACCCCGCCTGCCAGGCCTGGCAGCGGCTGCAGAGGGCAAAGGCCTGGGGCACCCAGGAGGAGTCTCAGCCTGGCCTTCTGGCTGGCATCCAAGGAAAATGCCCAAGCCAGCTTTATCGATCCTCCATGTTAGCTCTCCTGCCATTTTGTTTCTCGCCCTGTTAACCTGACGTCTTCTGCTCCTGTGTGCATGGCATGAGCCCCAACCTGACCTGCCGTTCTGTTCCCCTGGTTCAGAAAGGCCCTGAGTCATGCATCAGGTGGGGCAGGAGAGAAGGGGCATTATGGCCCATTCATGCACCTAGGCGAGGAGCAAGGCCGACTTCCTTAATTTTTCAGAAGGCGATTGTTTGAGTTGCTGCTTCTGCACTGGGTGCCAAGTTCTGTTCTTGGAGGAGGTGGCCTGTGGGCCCCTGGGGGGAGATGGGCTGCCCACTTGTGACTCCTCTGTCACTGGCTGGCAGCAGGGAGGGGAGGCTGGGCGGCCTGGTCTGGGTGGCCCTGATCCAGAGGGCTCCAGAGAGAACTCGGCTGCCATCTAGGAGTGTCTGGAATGCAACAGCCCAGCCGGGCAACTGGGGGTGGGGGGGGAGAGAAAGCCATTGGTGAATTGCTCCCCCTTGTGCCCATCGGCAGTGTCCTTCTGCCTGACCCAGGCAGGCAGAGGGCAGTGCCAGCTTCTTCCAGAGCTGCTGCCATCGTTGCTGTCTCAGGCAGCTGGCAGCTCCAGACTCGGCGAGGGGCCTCTGCCTCCTCACTGCAGGAAGGAGCGTGCCGGCTCCCAGAGAGGAGGGGGCCTGGTGGGCGGGCGGGGAGACATCTGCTCCAGCAGCAGTGCCAGCCCGTGTCATCCCTGCTGCATGCCCGATGTTCCACGGGATCCTCCCAGCCCGAGATGGCAGAGACGGCACCAGGCAGCCCCTCAGCTGCTTGCTGGATGTGGGGCCAGGGGATGTGGGGGGGGCAGCTTTGCTTCGTGCTGCAGCCAGGGCTTCCTGGTTTGCCCAGCTCAGCCAGAGGGCCTGTGCCAGCCAAGCCAGCTGGGATACAGCAGAGAGCATCTCTTCCTTGCCCGCTCGGGGGCCCTCTCCTCCCCTCCCTCCTGGCTCTTGGTGCGCCTCTAACATGCACCTACGCGAGGTTGTCTCGGGTCAAGGGCTGGGGGAGGAGGCAGGAGGCAGGAGGGATCGGCGCAGCAGGCCCCCAGCACTTCGCAGCTTCGCCATCCTCCCCCCTCCACCGCCCCAGTCACTGTCACCTTTCGGGCTTATATTTGGAGTTGCCAAGCCAAGGCGGGCTTTCACAGCAACGCCTTTGGGGAGGCAGCGGGGAACAGGCTGCTGTGTCCCGCTCTGCTCCAGATGCATGGGGACTACAGCACCCAGAGTTCCCAGCCCCCACGAACTTGACATGTCCCTCTTTCAAGCTTTGGGCTTCCTTAGCAGGCAGAATTGCCAATTTGAGCAAAGAGGGGCCCCCTGTCCCTCATTCAACCGGGGCGCGAGCCCGGCCTTCCGTCGTTTGCCAGTCCAGACAGCATAAGATACACCGTTGTGTATCTTCATCAGATTTTGGCGTCAGGCCTAAAGCGAGCCAGTGATTTGCAATGGGAGAAATCCTGGGAAAGCTTTGTTTTCATTCTCCTGTATTCCTAATGTAAGTTCATCCCAACTGTTTATTTTCTAGAATCCAACTTGGGTAGTTCTGGGTTTTTTTCCCCCAATATGATCTTGATTTTTTAATCTGGGTTAATTTCAATCAAATCCAAGGAATGCCTGAATTTGAGCTTTATTGCTCCTTGTTCGAGGATGATGCTTTTTCACATGCCCGAGATTCTGTAAAATGTCACAATTGAATGGCCTTTTAAAGGGCCAGGGTGAGGTAGTGATGAATGGGCCAGGCTGGGAGTGGGAAGACCCAGGTTCCAGTCCACGGGCCCCCCTTCCTGTGGGCCTTGATCTCAGCCCAGCCTACCTTACAGGGTTGTTGTGGGGGGAAATGGGAGGAGGAAGTGCTGTGGATGCTGCCTTGAATGAAAGGCAGAATAGAAATCTATTAGATCAATCTATAAAAGGTACTGGTAGGTCTCAATTAGTGTGGTTAACGAATCCCATGAAATGGTTGCATTATTCAGATTCTCACTATTCAAAGTGATATTTCTATGGAAAATACAGTAATTGGTTCCAGCCTGACGGAAATAGGCAATGAAAATTTTTAAACATAAATTTTTATATGTAAATTAAATATTACAGTAAAGGATAAAGGGATAAACTTATACTTTAACAAAGTCACAGAGTAGTTATAGAAAGCAAAATAAAAACAAAAAAATCCTGCCATAGATTCAGGCATTCCAACATCTCATCCTATTTTAGCGTTGCTATGACCACGTTCTTGCCATTCAATTACATCAAATTTTTGCTCTAATGTAACGAGCCTCTCCTTTTTTAAACTTGTACTGTTTTCCTCTGACAGAGTCTTCCTTTTTGCACACACGAAGATGAACAGCATCTAAAACCCCAACCGCAATTGCACGTGCACTAGCCTTGCATTAACTGAATTTTGGGTCGCATGAAAGGCAACCTGGTATCAATTTACAACTCACACTAAATCGAATACCACATTATTCAAACTCACACTAATCGCGACCTGTATAACTTAGATGCAGTGGTCTACTTGTGATCAATTGTTTCCTGGCTGGGGAATTCTGGCAGTTGAAGTCCACACATCTTCAAGTGGCCAAGGTTGAGAAACATGGCAATATCCAGTCATGCTGATGGGAAAATATCCATGTGATAATTTGGAGCAAACCAGGGCACTCCCCTCCTCACACTGGTATCTCCTCCCATAACCTTCTCCCGATCTGGTGAATGCCACATGTGGCCCACAGTTCCCACAATTCCCTACCAGGCAAGCTGGAAGGGAGGGAATGCTAGGCATTGTAGTGCAAGACAAGGGGAGGGTGGAAAGTTAGGGAAGTACATACCAGACACAGGTATGAATGGGGCAATCTCAGCTTCTGGGGCAGGGGGAGTCACCTTGAAACCTTTCATATTTTTCCTGAAAGGGCTTTTGGGAGAAGGAACATGTAAGAGTTGAAGGATCCATTAAACCAGGAGGGTCATTAATCAAATTTGGGAACATGCTATGGGTGCTCCCACAAACAGGCTCCCCTGATAGACATGGCCAGTCACAAAACAGTCTAGCCTTTTTTGCATCCATGGCATATGGATGCAGAAATCTTCTTCGAGAACTAATCTTAGGCTTCTTTGTCTTGCTTCTAAACATCAGTTGTCCAGTTCCTCTCTCCCTTCAACTGGTTTTCGGTGATTTTCTCTAAGAAGCAAGAGGGATGACCATCCTGGTTGTCTTCAGCACGTGTCTGAGAAAAACTTCAGTCCTGGCCAGATGAATGTGTCTGATCTAGAACTTGACATTCTCGCCTGTGCAAAGGTCATCAAGTCAATAAACTAGGTGATGTGAAGACTTGGCAGTCAAGGATCATGAATTCCTACAAAACAGTAAACCTGTGTCTGGTCTGAAACATTACTGATGAGAGCTTTAATCCTGGAATGTCCTTTCATGTTAAAAAAATACCCAGTTCTTATAGGCTTGGAAATGGAGCCCCAGGTGATAGAAACAGCTTTATAGGCAGGTTCACAGAACATGGGGGTTCCCCCAAAGTGCCAAGTCTTGCTCCAACATGGTGGATCCCAATGACCCATCCTCATTCAAACCTGGTCAGATGGGCTGTGTGAACCTAGCTGCTCTTTCTGGATTCTGCTCATCCTGCCTCTGCCTTCTCTTTCCCTCCTGCAGACGATGTGCTAACCAAGGATTCAGGCGAATGCGTCATTTGCCTGGAAGAACTTCTGCAAGGAGACACGATAGCCCGGTTGCCCTGCCTCTGCATTTATCACAAGAGGTAGAGTATGAACGAGCCTTGGGACCCCCAGGGAAGGGCCCAAGTTGGGCCTCCTAGTTAAGATGGGTTGAGAGGCTGGGAAATGACCATGTTGGTCTCTCAAGGCTTCTGCACAAACTGCGAGCTGCTTCGGACACCGGTCCTCCAAATCCCAAGACTGGGCAAGCATGGTGATCCTCTTCTTCTGCAACAGCTTCATTCAGAGAAGCCTCAGCAATGCAGTGAAATGAGCAGTCCCTTTTCTCTTCTGCAGCTGTATAGATTCCTGGTTTGAAGTGAACAGATCCTGCCCAGAACACCCCTCAGATTGACCGCGGGATCACATGCGGACCTCTCTCCAGGTGAGGACATTTGTCTTGAATGTGTCCATTGTGAAGAATCTCACTCCCTATATAGGGTCTCTGCTAACTCCCTGTTTAACACGGAGCATTAAAGAAAAATGCAATCTGAACCAAGATGGTTGATCCATTTATGGTTATGCTGGCTGAGAATTTGGAAAGTCTCAGTCCCAGTAGAGACAGGGAGCGCCTGTTGAGTTTGGGAAGACTGCAGAAAAAGGTTCAGCAAATATTAGACCACTTTTAATGGAGGCATCTGAAAGCAGCCAAAATGTTTTGCCCGGGCAAAAATGGAAAGAAATACCATCAGCCAACCAAACCATAACAACCAAATTCGTTAGTAACAAAGCATGCTCTCTTAACCATTTTGCAGCATGTGACTTGTCAGTAAGAATTGCAAATAGGAAGTAAACTCTCAGAAACTAATGCTTGTTTTAATTTTTGCCTAAATGAAACTAAATAAGTAAAATCCTTGAGCCAGCCTTAGTTTTGTTGGCAGTGGTACAGAACAGGGTTACCATTGCTGTCTTCCAGGATTCTCTTTCAGATTCCTGGTACAGCCCTGGGATTTTTCTGATGAGTTCCCATCCAAGGCCAAACCAGTTCTTGACCTTGCTTAGCCTTTAGAATCCCTAAACTAAACATCTCCTGATCTCATGTTTGGTTCAAATGTTCTCATAAACTCAGACATATTTTAATGAACCCAAATAGTAGGATTCTCCCATGGCCCTGGTGATGTATTGTTTAATAAAAGCGTCTCTGAAACAAGATAATTTCCAGGTTCATTAATTTTGGGGTAAGATTGTTGTCATATCTGTTCTTGCAACATGAGCCCATTTATCAACACGATCTCAACAGGATGTGTGATGTGCACATTCTGGATCTGCTCTTCTAGAATATGGTTGAATGTATTTTCTCTGTGTGCTTCTGTGAAGGACATCCTCCTGTCTCTCTCTTTCAGTTGCTGAAATGCCTCTTTGCTTTTATTCTGAGTTTATGCAGCTTTTTGTGTGTCTCAGGAGTGGGGGGGTGGGAGAATGTTGTCCACTCATTCCAGGAATTTGAGAAATGTCCCTATAAAAATGCAGAATAATCTTATATTCTGCTCAGACCTGGAAGCTATTTCCACAGATTGCCTGGATGGCTCTGAAGTTGAATGTTTTTCTTGTTTTGGTACTCATTCTGTCACAAGACAACCATGTGCAAAGCTGCCTTCTAACAGATGTGTTAGAATTACCGCTCAAAGACTTCTCAGTCAGCATAGCTTACGATCTGGGGAATTCCTGTCCGAAAACATCTGGAGGCAACTGGAGGAGCATAGCTGAATTCACAACAGAGGCCAAATCCTACAGCTGTGTTAACAGTGTTCCCAGTAGGGCTGTGCAGGGCTTTGGAAATAATTAGGAAATGGGACAGATAAGCTCTTTAAAGCAGCTGCATCTTTTCCACATGTGCGCCCCACACACACACACACACACACTCTCTACAGCTGCCATACAATCCCAGGAAAAAATGCAGTGGCTGTAAAAAGCTACAGAAAGGGGCTACTGTACGAAGCATTACACAGCCCTAGTTCACATATTGTGTAATGCCCCAGTTGCAGAACACACTGTGCCCTGACAAATAAACCATATTCTGGCTTTACGTGATGATCCAGTTCTCACCACAAAGAAAGACCATGGCTGGCTTCCCATTAGCACGCTAGCCACAAACCACCCAAACCCCTTTTAGCCAAGTCTATCGTGCTCGGTGAATCCAGCTTCAGAATCAAAGGTTGGGTGTCCAGAGCAGCGCTGTCAACATCAGAACTGGTTAGAATTCCCAGCCCTTTCTCATAAAAGTCCACTTCCCCCAAGCAGATTCCCCCATTTCTACAATATGATGATTTTTTTTTTTTTTTAATCTGCGCTCAGTCGTTACCGACTCTGCAGTGACTGCTTGG